GGAAATAAATAGAGAGAGGAGGGGTGGGGCTGGGGAAGGTAGGTGGGATGGTGATAGGTGAGTGCAGGTAGGTGGGGATTGGTCAGTGAGGTGGGAGGGGTGGATAGGTGGGAGAGAAGATGGACAGATCAAGGAGGCAGGGATGAGACGGAAGGTTGGTCATGGAATGAGGCTGGGGGTGGGGAGATTTTGAAAGTGGTAAAGTCCACATTGAGACCATCGGGCTGTAGGCTCCCAAAGCGGAATATGAGGAGCTACTCCTCCACTTTCTGGGTGGCGTCGTTGTGCCACTGGAGGAGGCCCAGGATGGACATGTCGCCCAGGGATTGGGAGGGGGATTTGAAGTGGTTCGCGACTGGGAGGTGTTGTTGTTTGTCCCGAACAGAGCACAGGTGCTGTACAAAGCAGTCTCTGAGCCTCCGCTTGGTCTCACCGATGTAGAGGAGACCACATCGGGAGCAGCAATTCATGAGGTTGTGTTTATAAAGCACTTTTAATTAGTAAAGTGTCACAAGACATTTCACACCAGCAACTGTGTAACAAAATGTGATAAGGCCTGTAAACAGATATAAGCAGAGTTAACTGACAGCTTGGTTCAAGAGGAGGAGAGAGACGTGAGAGTTTTAAGAAAGGAATTCTGGAGTTTAGGGCCCAGGCAACTGAAGACACAGCGGGATCTTGGAGGGTTATTGCACTGGAGGAGGTTAAAGAGATAGGGACAGGTTCAAAAACAAGGATGAGAATTAGAAAAATTGAGGCTACAACATTGTTCTACACTATTTGCAGGTTTCTCAGTGTCAAACAAGGTATAGATAGAACAGATTCCTTCAAAAAGATACTCATATGCTGCGGGCTGCATAGGCAGTGAGTGGGAAAACACAGGACAATTGAGCATTATTTTACAGCCAGGAGTTAAATCGGGGGACCCATGTGAATCACAACTTGAAACATTTTGTGGAAAAGGCTAGGCCTATTATAATTTCCTGGGAAGTCGCTCCATCATCACATTTGGTCACAGATACTATCAGTGCGTGCGAGAATGGAATTCTCTCCCAACAAATGTGGAAATGACAAAGGCAACGTTTTCTCACATTTGAAAGAGCCATTGTCTGAACGTCAATAGTTAAGATTGCACAGTGACAATGGACCCCTTAACTAAAAGAATCTCCACTCTCGTTTAACTCCAGGAGTGCGCAAATATCTGACTGAAGCATTCCTCTATCAGCCCCTTCACCCTGAAGGTATTGAGGAATTTGGGATCTCCGTGGTTTCACTCGCCCAGCTTTCCTTTCGCTCTGACCTGGGGCTGATTTCGACTCTCCCTCTGTAATGGGCCGGGGCAGGGGTTGGATGCCTACGTTAAAATGGCCAGTGTTGTATCTGTTAACAGTGCAATGGTGCCATTGTATTCCGAAAGGGAGCCACCACTCATTCCAAACAATGGGTCCTCTCGTGAACCCACTCCTTGGTCCTCCCTAGACCCTGCTTTCCTGTCTCAAACCACAGACAAAGTCCAGATTGATGGGTGGTGGAACCACAGAGGACTGTGAAACCAAAATGGTTAAATAGTAAAATTATATCTATGATTCCCTAGGTGCCCCATTGGTCAACCCAGTGGGAAGGAGAAGGAGCATTGATGTGGAGCAGTGATGTCCCCGTGTCTCACAAACACCACACCCCCACCACCAATTCAATATGGAGGGTAGAATAGGGCAGAATGGCCAGCGCTGGGGCTGGGGCGTGCGGTTAAGTCAACTCTTCCGTATTAAGGCACAGATGAAGGATTTCACAGCAACTAAGGGAGGAAAAGTGGAAGTTGGCATCCCTGATGCTCAGGATTATCAATCTTCAGAAATTAGTCAACACCAAAGAACTGCTTGTCTTTGTTGTGGACCAAAGGACTGATACCTGGACTTCAGGGGTTACGTTACGAGGACAGGTTATACAAATTAGTTGTGTTTACTCTAGAATTTAGAAAGTTAAGAGGTGATCTGATCAAAGTCTTCAAAATATTAACAGGAAATGTCAGGGTAGATCAAGATAAAGTATTCCCACTGGTTGGCGATTCTAGAACTGGAGGCACAGTCTGTGAATTAGGGCCAGAGGGTTCAGGAGAGATGGTACAAAGTACTTCTACACACAGAGGGTGAGAGAGGTTTGGAACTCTCTTTCACAAACAGCAGTGGTTGCTGGATCATTTGTTAATTTTAAATGTGAGAGAGATATATTTTGTTAAGCAAAGGTGTTAAGGGATGTGAGAACAGGCATGAGGGGCTGAATGGCCTACTCCAGTTTCCAAGTTCCTAACTGAAGGGATGGAATAAGATGTTTTTAAAAACTCCTTTCAAGGAATTGGGTATTGCTACTAGCCCTTGTTGCCCCTTGACGAGCCCAGTTGAATTAGGGGTCTTGCTCGGCCATTTCAGGGGTCAGATGAGAGTCAGCCACATTGCTGTGGGTCTGAATTCACATGTAGGCCAGACCAGGTAAGGATGGCAGTTTCCTTCCCTAAAGGACATTAGTGAACACAATGGGATAGTAGGAACTGCTGATGCTGGTGTCTGAGACAACAAGGTGTAGAGCTGGATGAACACAGCAGGCCAAGCAGCATCAGAGGAGCAGGAAGGCTGACGTTTCGGGTCTGGACCCTTCTTCAGAAATGCTGCATTCATCCGGCTCTACACCTTGTTATCTCAGTGAACAAGATGGGTTTTTCCAACAATCAATGATAGTTTCGTGGTCACCATGATTAAGATTTATTCTAGATTTATTGAATTTAAATTCCACTGGCTGTCTTGGTAGGAATTGAACCCGCATTCACAGAGTATTAATCTGGGTCTGTGGATTATGGTGACATAAGCACTATATGGTCATTGCCCACAGGAAACAATAGAATTGGATGGAGGACAGAGGGATCTAATTCCCAACAATCCAAAAGTGTCTCCATATGCAGTTGAGCAAATTCATTTTCAGCTCCGGAAGTATTTTTTGCTTTATTCCGCTGTGCTGGCGAGAAAGACAGTCTTTGCTTCTCTTGGAGTTACATCTGTTATATTCTTGGACAGGGAATCAGGCCACTATGCCCAGTTCCAGGCTGGCACAACTGATTGGCAAACAACATAACAGGTTACCCAGGAGGAGCACAGAAAGCTGGCCAGGTCACACAGAGCCACTGATGCCAACAGAACTGATCGTTGCACCAACAGTCACATTGTTGACTGTGGCAGTGATGTTCACTTTAGCTCAGTTCCAAGCTGTGGTCTGGTGTGCATGTGGTAAGGTGTGTGCCGTCAGTGCCAGCAATAACATTACCCACAACCACATCCTGAGACACTTGTCTCTTTGCAGCAAGGATCACAAGATGAAGGAGGAAGATAAAGAACAGAAACCAGGCCAAGGTCTCCTGTACTGTACACAGAAAGAGTCACAGAGAGCAACAACACAGAAAAAGGACCTTTGGCCCATTGAGTCTGTGCCAGTCAGAAAGAATCCCCTGACTATTCTAATCCCATTTCCCGGCAATTGGGCCATATTCTTGGCATCACAAGTGCACATCTAAATACTTCTTCACTGTGACGAGGGTTTCTGCTTCTCCCACCCTTACAGCTACAGAGTTCCCTCTGGGTGACAAAGATTTTCCTCGCATCCCCTCTAAACCTTCTGGCCCTTACCTTCAATCTATGCCCCCAGTCACTGATCCCTCCACTAAGGGGAATGTTTCTTTCTGTCTACCCTATCCATGCCCCTCCGAGTTTTATCCATCTCAATCACGTCCCCACCTCAGTCTCCTCTGCTCCAAGGAAAACAACCCCAGTCTGTCCAATCTCTCTGCGTCACTGAAACTCTCCATCACAGGCAACATACTGTTAAATCTTCTCTGCACCTTCCCCAGTGCAATCACATCCTGCCTGTAATGTGGATTCCAGAACTGAACACAATACTCTAGCTGTGGCCAAACCAATATTTTATACAGTTCTAGTATAACCTCCCTGCTTTTCAACTCTCTGCCTTGGCCAATAAAGGCAGGTATCCATATGCCTTCTTAACCACTTTATCTACCTGTCTCGCTAGCTTAAGGGACTGACAGACGTGTAGACCAAGGTCTCTCTGATCCTTGGTGCTCCCCAGGGTCCTAGTGTACATCAAGTAAAAGCTCATCAATCTGAACTGCTGTTTCTCTCCCCACAGATGTTCCCAGAACTGCTGAGGGTCTCCAGCACTTCCTGTTATGTCAGTTTTTTATGACAGAGGACATGTTTCCTTTCCAACCTCACTCCTCCATTGGTAAGAATAAATTCACATTTACTCAGGCTGCGATGTGGCCAATTATAGAGGTTTTGGGCTGTATCTGAATTAGTTGTAGAAACAATTCAACCAGGTTTCTTTCATAGTGTTAAGAATAAATCACTTAGAATAAATAAACAATATGCAAAGATGATCAACAACAAAAAAAAGGGTTTAGACTGTACAAAGGAAAATATGACTTAATTCTAACATTCAAACTTTAACATGAGGCAAATATGTGTAACAGACTAATGGTGGTTGAACATCCCACAGAATATATCAAACAGCAAATAACAGGTCTGCTGCGTTTCCCAGCAAAACCCAAAGACTTTAGTGACACTGTGAGTCACCAAATCTCATTAAATCTTCACAAGGGATCACGATTCTGCACTTTCCATGATCTGGCCTTAAAGGTTCCTCCAAAGCCACTCCATCAGATACTAGCTCCAAGGCCTCATATTCTGCTGTCCACTTGCTGTTCTGCATTCCCCTGGATTATTGGAAACTACACTCCAGTACTTACTCATAGGCACCAACTCCACCTTTTCAACAACTGTAAGCCATTATCGCCCCTAATTATTGCCCTAAACGCGCTCAGTTGCATGAAGCAAAAGTGTTGTAGGCTTTCAACCCCTACTCCCTCCTGCACTAATTATTAATTGGGCACTGGCTTCTTTCAGGCCCTTCATAGGTCCTAGGACTACTTTGAGTCTACAGTACACTGAGTTATTCAATTGGTCTTGGACTGTAGTACATAGATTTACACAGCTGCTCTTAGGCATTCCTGAGCCCAGCTACACAGAACTTGTGTTTTCTAGTTCCTTGAGCAGTACAGCTAAAAGCAGCCGAACATTAGGTCTGCTCTATCTCTGTCTCCTTTTCCATCTGACAGTAACCCAAAACTGCACTTGTGTGACTCCTAAATTGTCATGAATGGCCAACTGAGATACTTCACCTTACTGATGGGCAGAACTGAATGGAATTAATGTTGTGGAACAGTCAAATGTAGTAAATCCTTAGATTTCTCTTTTCCTTAAACGTTACCCTTTTCACAGAATGCCGGCTTACAGCACAAGTTGCATACAAGAGAAAGCAGGAATTGGTCGCTGCAGATTATATTGTCATTATCACACTGCTGTCTGTGAGATGTTAAAATTGGCTCTGCATTTCCTACAAAAGCCGAAACACTTCAAAAAGTGCTTCATTACCTGTAAATCAATTGAAGACATCCTGAGACAGACTTCGAGAATGCTGGGGAAACTCAGCAGGTTTGGCTGCGTCTGTGCAGGAGGGAAGCAGAGTTAACGCTTCAAGTCTGACCTGACTTTTCCTCAGAGCAGCGTTCTGTGTTTCTGTCTGATTCCTGGCATCCATAGTATTTTGTTTGTATTTGGGGGCATCCTGAGATTGTGAAAGGCGCTATACAAATGCAATTCCCTTGTTTCAGTGAGGAAAATAACTGATCTGAGTGTTACATTCTCTGCTGGCCAGCCGCCTGCTGAAAGTTAATTAATTTTCAACTCGCTGAGCAGATTTTACCCCCTCTGATTAGCACTGGGTAGCAGCAGATGCTAACTTTTTTTTTAAAAGATCATTTAAAAATAGACATTTATTTAAGCATGCACTACTTATGCAAGGCTGAATCTTGTGTCAATTGGTTAGTGAGGTAGATCAAACAGTAAAAACCAAACCACTGCTCCAATATTCTCAAGATCTGAACAGAATGATTACTGCACAGCTGGAGGTTATTTGGCCCATTGTGCCTGTACTATGTCTGTAAAGGCTATTCAGATAATTATCCACATCCTTTCAGAAAGCCATGATTGAATTTACCTCCACTACCATGTCAGGCAGCACATTCCAAACTCACACCTTAGAAAAAGCCTTTGCCTCACGTCCCCTCGCTTTTGTTTTCCAATTACCGTAAACATTTTGTGTACTTCTCCAGTTTCTCCTTATTTGCTCTGTCCAGTCTGTGTCAAATCTTTCTCATCATCGCTATTTCTCCGATGAACATGGCCCTAGTTTCTCCAATCTATCCTCATTATGCAGACTCTTACCTTGCAGAATCAATCTTTTCTGCATCCTCTCTAAAATCTTTATTTCCTTTCGAAAGTGCTGGGTGTTGTAATAGACAGTTTGCACCTGAAAGGGTTAACTGACATGAGCTAAGCTCCGTCCATTAGAGGATATAAAGAAGCACTCCTGGGAGACGCTAACCAGTCTCTTTAGGTTGTGTATCAGAATGTTCCAGAAGCTTACTCTATGGTCTCACAGAGGACACTATATATCTCAGACGTAATGCAAACAGCTCTTCAGTTTATCAAGGCTGATGCTCTCTTCCATGAAGACTTTGAATCTTCCCCATTAGTACCAGCAACATAGACTAACTAAAGAGGCAGGATTGGTGGCAGAGAACCACCCAGACAATTCAGGTGTCCCCGACTACGAGACTATAAGGTGCCCAGGGCTGGACATCAATAGATGCCACGCTAGCGTTTTACACACGTTCCCCATAACTTCCTCACTTCTGTCCCCCACACTTCGCTGTCTGGTCCAATCACAAAGGGATGTTGATTGGGTAAATTAGGAGAAACTGTCTGCTCCATCAGAAGGGTCAGATACCTGAGGCTGGTGATTGAATACGGAGGTTGGGGTGAGGGGGCAGGGGGTTGAGATAGGTTTACTGGGGCAGTGACTCACAATGATCTAGAATGAGCTCCCTGAAGGGGCGATGGAAGCAGACTCACAGGGAGCTTTCAAAAGGGGAAACATCGAGAAAACGAAACTCTGGAGGCCTCCGGGAAGAAAGTGGAGGAGGGGAGAGCTCTTTAAAGAGTTGGCACTGACATTATGGGCTGAATGGCCTCCTGAGCTCTGTCACTTTATGAGGTGGTACAAACTGAAGGTGGCTGTGACACATTGATGAAGAAATGAGGGCACAGTGCTCAGTGACATTCAGCAGATCACAAGAAATCTATTCCATCTGCCCATTATTTTTCCAGGTTGAGATAACTCCAGTAAAATTCCATTGATGTAAAATGGAAAGTCCTTCCGGTTCCTCCCCAATTATCTGAGCCCCACCTAATTTCAGCCTCATTTAAATCTCTCCGTCACCTTCTCTGCTCCAGAAAGTGCAAGCCCAGTCTCTCCACATCATTCAGCCCCTGGTACCACTGCAGTAAATTTCCTCTGCACCTTCTCAAGGGCCTTCACATCTTCTCTAAAGTGCAGTGCTCACAGATTACACAGAAAGCTCCAGCCAACAGCTAGCCAGTGTTTTATAAAGTTTTACCCCAACTTCATCAATTCCATAACTCTCTGGGTCTTCCTTGAAAACTTTTTATTAACTTTTCGCGTTGCCTTTCATGATTTGTGCACACTCTCAGACCTTGTTATAAAATTGCTCCAGTTGGTTTATACTGTGGTTGTACTTACTTGCTAAAGCTGTAGAGGAGACGTTCAAAGACTAGAACTGGGCCTGTGCTGCTCAGGATGGTGAGTGGTTGCCCAGCGAAAAGGCAGAAGACAGCTCCACTAACTGCTGTGCCCAGGAAACTCTCCAGTACACCCTGGGGATAGCACGAGAAATCAGAGTCAAAAAACTCCATCAGATATGTGGTCCTCAGATCCCCTTCAAAGGGGTTTATAATCTGACAGAAAGTTTAGGTGAGCACTACTACGGCACAGAAACAGGCCACTCGGCCCATCAATTCCCTTCCTGGATTATGTGCTGTTCTTCAGTATCCTTCTATTCCTTTCTTTGTACTAACTAACGAGCTTCCTCATTAATGTATCGACACTTCCCTTACTCCCTTTGAGCGTGTTTCACTACGATCTGCTGGCACTGGCCTTTCAGACAGCAGGTTCCAGGTCACAGACACGCTCTGGTTTTGCAGAGTTTGTTTAGTTTTGACTTTTCTGGCTCTTTCTTCCAAGATACATCGGTTCAAGTTTCTTGCTGTTACGTTGAATCCGCCACCAGCCTGTCCAGTTTACCAGCCTGCCTGTGCCCTCCCGAAGTCTACCTATAAGATGAAAAACTTAGGCCATTCGGCCCATCCAGTCTGCTCCACCATTCCATCATGGCTGATATGTTTCTCATCCTCATTCTCCTGCCCTATCCCTGCAACCCACTTTTCATGTCATACATTGATGATCTGGACGAAGGAACCGAGGACATTGTTGCTAAGTTTGCAGATGACACAAAGACAGGTGGAGGGATAGGTTTTGCTGAGGAAGCAGAGAGACTGCAGAAGGACTTGGACAGGCTGGGAGAGTGGGTAAAGAAGTGGCAGATGGAATACAGTGTGGGAAAGTGTGGGGTTATGTGCTTTGGTAGGAAGAGAATAAGTGCAGGCTATTTTGTAAATTGGGAAATACTTCAGAAATCTGAACCACAAAACGACTTGGTGGTCCTAGTTCAGGTTTCTCAGAAGGTTAACATGCAGGTTCTGATGGCAGTTGGGAGGCAAATGCAATGTTAGCATTCATTTTGAGAGGGCTAGAATACGAGAGCAGGGATGTACTGCTGAGCCTGTATAAGGCCGCATTTGGAATATTATGAGCAGTTTCGGGCTCCGTATCTAAGGAAGGATGTGCTGGCCTTGGAGGGGGGTACGGAAGAGGTTTACAAGAATGATCCCGGGGATGAAGGGCTTGTCATATGAGGAACATTTAAGGACTCTGGATCTGTGCTGGAAGGAGTTTAGAACAATGAGGGCATATCTCATTGAAACTTACAGAATATTGAGAGACCTAGATAAGGTGGACATGGAGAAGATGTCTCCACGAGTAGGAGAGACCAGGACCCGGGGGCACAGCCTCAGAGTGAAAGGCACAACCCTTTAGAACTGAGATGAGGAAGAAATTCTTCATCCAGAGGCTGGTGAACCTGTGGAACTCATTGTCACAGAAGGCTGTGGAGACCAAGTCATTGAGTGTACTCGAGACAGAGATAGATGTGTTCTTGACTGGGAAGGGGATTCAAGGGTTATGAGGAGAAGGCAGGAGAATGAGGTTGAGAAATATATCAGCCAAGATCGAATGGTGGAGCAGACTTGATGGGCTAAATGGCCTAATTCTATTCTTATATTTTATTGGCTTGTAGTCTACGGTCTAACCCTGGATCACTTTACTAATTAAGAACCTGTCTATCTTGTTTCTGTCCCTTTCAGCGTTTCCTGCGTTCCCAAGATTTGTGTGGCCAGCAAACTCTAACTGACTGGTTTTCTGGAAGGCCAGTGCTCCTGTTACTGGGAGACACAGTTGTACACTTTCCTCCAGTCTGTTTTTCTCACTGTTCACCATGGCTGTCTGCATACAGAGTCTGTGAGCTAAATTTACAAACACATTAGCCTTCCAATCCCTCACCTTCTATGCTGCTGACAAGTATCTAATGAAGAAAGATGGCTCACCTCTATGTTAGAATATTCTTTGCAAAGTCTGAATCAATTGTGGAAAAGGATCAAAGAGATTTTGGAAAACTGATAAAAGAAATTACTCAATGTAACGAGGCAGTTTAATAAGGTCACTGTCGAAGCAAAACAAGCACCTGCAATTCTTTCTTAGAGAGTTACAACACAGGAGAAGTTCTGTTAAACTTACATGAACTTCACTTGGAGAACAGAGAGTAATTGTGATCCCCAGATTACAAAACAGGCAATGGAGAAGATCAGAAATGATTGACCACAGTGATACCAGAACTGCAAGGGGACAGTCATCACGAAAGATTGAGCGGGTAGTCGCTCTTTTATCGTGTGAAGAGAAAAGTAACGAATGACGTGATGGAGCACGAAAGGAGTGACAAAGTGTTTCTACTTATCAGTGAGACTTGAACCAGGAATCGTAAACGAAGAGAATCTTTCATAAATCCAATTGGGAATTCAGGAGACAGTGGGTGGAGTATGGATTTTACTCCCATAGGGAGTATGAGGACAAAGATTAAGGGAAACTGGATTAACCTAAACAGGAAATGGGAAGAGTATGCTGATGGGGTGAGGTGAAGTGTGATTGGAGGAGGTTGATGGAGAGAATAAGCACTAGAATAGAAGAGTTGGGCCGAATGGCCTGTTTTGTATTTCTGGGGGTGATGTGTTGAAGGAGAATGATAGTCAGTGCAGTGCCTCCACATGAGACAGTGGGTCTGTAGCCAGAACAAACCTGCATATTGTCAGTAGCATCCCCAAGGAGACCTCCAAAGGTGATGGCATTGGTCACAGTCCCCAGATAGATAAACAGAATGGCAGAAAGTGACTGGATGCTCAGTGCGTCATAAAAATCGCTGGCAAACCATGGGATCTTCCTTTTGATATCAGCCACAAAACCACCAAACAACCTGAGGAACCAGAAAGGGGAAAGTGAGAACATTTCATCGGAACATTCCTTAAGGGACAAAGCTGAGGAGGGCCCATTAGTCCCTAGAGGGTGCTCCAACATTCCAGACATTCAAAAACAAAGGATCAGGGAATACAAGGTTACATAATCAATAAAAGATCATTAGAATTAGGAGTAAGAGCAGGCCATTCAGCCCCTCTCCTAAATGTTCCATCATTCAAGAGAATCATGGCTGGTCTGGGTGTGGTCTCAACTCCATCTTCCTGTCCATCTTACCCCTTCCTCCTTCCCACTACCTTGGACTCCTTTCTCACTGAAAAACTTGTCTCACTCAGCCCTGACTATATTCCGCGACAGAGTGTCTTCCAACTGCTAACGACACTGCGAGAAAAGAAATTCCTGCTCATTCTCTGACAGAACCCTTATTTTTGAAACAGTCTCTCCTCTGGATCTAGATTCCCTTATGAGAGGAAACATTCTGTCAGCATTTACCCTGACTAGCCACCCCCTCAGGGATCTGTTATATAACAGCCTTTGTCATATCTCTCCCTCTTGGCAGTCAACAGGTTAATTCCTGGAGTTGGAACTGAGGCTAATTCTGGCAACTATTAGGGACAGAGGAAAGTGGAGCACAAATATGCCATTCTCAGTTCCACCAATGAGACTAGTTTGTGGCTAACCATCTGCTGCAGCGCCATTTTCCCACATTATCCCTGTGTCCCTTATAACCGGTCCATCTCAAACTTGAACCACAGTGGTTAAGGATATTGTTCTTGGCTGTCTGTTTGCATGTGGAAAGGAATGCAGTGACCAAGGTCCCCCTACAGGGGTCAGCCTTTACTTCAGCATCCTTGACATCCGCCCGATCGACCAATAACAGAAGCTCGAGGTCAATGTTTCAGCTGAAGGATGGCACCTCTGATAGTGCAGCACTCTCTCTGTGCCACCAGAGATGCCAGTCACCTCCTGGACTGAAGGGTAGCCTCTCAATGTCCTCATGAGCAGTCCGAGGTGAGGTGTCGTCACGTTAATATCCGAGCCACGGCTGACATCGGGTCACACTTCCTCATCCAATGGGCAGCGAAGATCTGGAACGCTCTCCCGCCCTCCGGAAAACCGTTGATGTTGTTGGTCAATTGAAAACATGAAAACTGAGATGGATGGGTTTCATTGGGTAAGGATGGTCAGGGTCGTTGAATCAAGGTGGGTAAATGGGCATTTTTAAATTTTTTTCCATGGGATGTGGGTATCACAGGCTGGGTCAGAATTTGTTGCCCGTCCCCAATTGCCCTCGAATGGAGTATCTTGCTCAGCCATTTCAGAGGGCAGTTAGGAATCAATACCATTGCTGTGGTTTGGAGTCACACGTAGGCCCGACCAGAATCTGCAGGTTCCTTCCCCAGAGGACATCAATGCATCAGATGGGTTTTTTTTAGAACAATCGATGACAGTTTTATGCTCACCATTAGAGACTAGCATTTATTGGAAAATGTATTAATTGAATTTAAATGCCACCAGGCACTGTGATCCAACTGAATAGAGGAGCTAGCCTGAGGGCAGATGGGTCTCCTCCTGTTCCCGAGTAATTTTGTTCAGAATTAACAAGTGCTAATAACTGACTGAATTGGCTGCAAAATACTTGCAAAAATCTTTAAATGCTCATGGAAATAATTAAAAGTAACAGTACACTGCAGAAATTCATCAAAGATTCTTTGACAGCACCTTCCAAATCCATGACCACATCCATCTAGAAGGACAAGGGCAGCAGTTACATGGGAACACCATAGAATTCATACAGCATTGAAGCAGGCCATTCAGCCCACACTGACCCTCTGAAAAGCATCCCACCCAGACTCACACCTACCCTATCCCTTTAACCCCACAATTCCCTCAGCTAACCCACACATCCCTGGACACTACGGGCAATTTAGCATGGCCGATTCACCCTAACCTGCACATCTTTGGACTGTGGGAAGAAACTGGAGCACCCGGAGGAAACTCACACAGACACGGGGAGAACGTGCAAACTCCACACAGACAGTCACCCGAGACTGAAATCGAACCCGGGTCCCTGGTGCTGTGAGGCAGCAGTGCTGACCGCTGAGCCACCGTGTCACTCTCACCACCCCCAGCAAGTTCCCCTCCAACCCACTCACCATCCTGACTTGGAAATATATCACCGTTCCTTCAGTGCCACTGGGTCAAAATCCTGGAATTCCCTCCCCAAGGGCATTGTGGGTCTATCTACAGCACATGGACTGTAGCGGTTCAAGAAGGCAGCTCACCCCCACCTTCTCAAGGGGCAACTAGGGATTGGCAATAAATGCTGGGCCCAGCCAGTGACACCCACATCCCATGAATGAATTAAAATAAAAGCAGCTAAACAATTATCAACGTGATGGACCTGTGCTTCGTACCTTCCAGTTTTCTTCAGTTCATCTGGGATTTCATGTCCACCACCTCCGTGTCCCCCATCATGAAGCATGTCTCCGTTCATCTGAATAGCTTCCCCTCCGGCAAACATGTTCTTTCTGTTTAAAAGGAAAGTGTTACACTGAAATAATAACCTTCAAACTGCTGCACTCAGGTTTAATACCAATGTTTTTGTGTTTTTTTTTGGGTAAGAGGTTCTTCTTCAATTGGTCTCAGAGGTCAAGGCCCATGGGCTGGAACGTAGGGCGAGATGAGTTAGGTTTATTTAATCAGGAAGGAGGGTTAGAGGCTGTGACCCATCCACCTCAATAAGGATCTCTGGGAAAGCTCGTGGTCGACTTCCTATCTTGCTGCCAATTGACAACTTAACACGAACAGTTAAGCATCACTTAGTGAGCGCATCCTGATGGCACCAATATTCACCCTGCCCAGTTAGCAGGCTGGTATCTGACTGGGTTCCCCAGCTGCTTGAAGGAACCAGCATCGGGAAGTGAGGGAATGAAGCGTGGGATTTCCTGGAAGTCACCCGACAACCCTTGATGTCAACCCCCTCCTCCCCTGTGAGCACCCCCACCCCACTCCCCAAACCTGCTGGACCCCTCCTGCCATTCGAGAACACCCGCTGTTATCAGACTTGTGAACAGACCTCTCATATAATAGAGTTGATCTTTCTCTGCACCTTCTCAGTAGCTGTAACACGATTATTCTGCATTCTGTTCTATTACCCCACCACGCCCCCACACCCCCCGTCCCCACCACCCCGATGCACTTATGGAAGGTATGGTTTGTCTAGTTAGCGCGCAAAACAATACTTTTCACTGTATCTCAGTACATGTGACAATAATAAATCAAATTAAATCACTGACCTGCTCACCAGTTCAACCAGCGAGTGGCCACAGTACTGACCACAGCCATGTGATTCCACAGTGATGCCACTGAGGAATGTCAAGCTCAGTCTAGGGTCTTTGATTGGCTGGCTTTGGGATGGGTTGGGGAAGGGACCACTGCTGCCCAGTTACCCATGCCTGACTGCCACTTCATCCAGCAGCCCTTCCTGAAAACAGGGGATGGTAGACTCTTGCTGACTGCCCAGATAACAGCAAGACCCTCGTCACCTCTGCTAAAGACCACCAGCAGTGTGTGGGGAGATACTGAGTCAACATCGCATTAAAGAGAGGCTTTGATTAACAGAACCACGTTTACAAATGTGGAGCCAGTCTGAATCTCTTCACAGAGAAGGGAGTTATTTTATCAACGGTGAAAGTTCTAACAAAAAACCCTTATCTTGTGATGATATCAAAAAGACGCTATTTTAAACTGGCTGCAACTGGAATAGCTCATAAAAGATTAAAATATAGACAGAAAGATAGTTCCAAACTTTTGCAATACCACCTCCAGCCATTAATGTTTAAAAGCCAAAATATTTTATCTTATCTTGATAGGGAGAAGCTGTTCCTGCTCATAAAGAAAATAGCAAGAGGGTGCAGATTTAAAACAATGTGCAAACGAAGCAAGGGTAATGTGTGGAAAATCATTTTTATACAGCGAGTGGCTAGGGTCTGGAATGCACTGCCTGGAAATGTGGGGGAGGCAGGTTCCATTGAGGCATTTCAGAGGGTGTTGGGTGGTTTTTGCATAGAAATGGTGTGTAGGTATATGGAGAAATGGCTGGAGATTGGCGCTAGGGAATGGAACTGGTGCAGGCATGATGGGCTCAATAGCCTCTTTCTGCACCATAACTGTGAATCTACAGTCTTAGGCAGCAATTACCATTGGATAGTTCTGACTGGTTACCCAAAAGAATACATTGAAAAAGGTGAGGGAGGTTCTGGATTTGACCGTTCCAAGGGTATTTTTTAGCTGCTGGGGCCCCGAGCCTCTGTCTAAACCTCTCCCCCTCCCCTCCCTTCCTCTCTCCTCTATGGCTGAACCTCTGAACCTCTCTCAGAGGGCCGACAGGTCGTGGCCCAGAGTCCATGGGCCTGCAGCTGGGAAGGTGGCAATGGTGGTGGGCTTGAACCCTACAGCTTACTGCTTCTTGGGTGGCATGGTGGCTCAGTGGTTAGTACTGCTGCTTCACAGCATCAGGGACTTGGGTTCGATTCCAGCCTCTGGCAACTGTCTGTGTGGAGTTTGCACATTCTCCCTGTGACTGTGTGGGTTTCCTCCCACAGTCCAAAGATGTGCAGGTTAGGGTGGATTGGCCATACTAAATTGCCCATAGTGTCCAGGGATGTGTAGCTTAGGTGAGTTATAGGGGGATGGGTCTGGGTGGGATGCTACAAGGGTCGCTGTGGATTTGTTTGGCCAAAGGGCCTGTTCCCACAGTGTAGGGATTCTATGATTCTAAATGAAACTCTGGTTGAGAAGCAGTATTCCCTACAAGGTGCTGTTTGGAGCCAGCAGACTGGGCTCAAAGCTCCCAGTCAGCACCAAAAAAAACCCCAAAATATTAGTGAGCCACATTTCACCATCTCACCTCACTCCCACCTGAATTCCTTCAATAAGCCACAGGAATAGAAGAAGGCCATTCTAGCCCATTGAGTCTGCTCCACCATTCCATGAGATGGTTGATCTGTCAATCCTCAACTCCACGTTCCTGCCTGTTCCCCATAACACTTGATTCTCTGCACTGATTAAGAATCTTGACTATGCTTAAGACCCAGCCTTGACGACCCTCTGCAGTAAAGAATACCACAGATTTACTCCCCTCTGAGTGGAAATTCATCCTCCCTGTCTGAAGTCAATGAGGATTTAAGGGCCTCATCCTACACTCCCCACCTCCATATACAATTATTTTGCTGTAGGTGGAGGAGGAAAAGTTGGCTAATCTCCTCAATGGGGGCAGACTGTCAGGTTGGAGGGTTGGGGAGTCAGGAGGACATCAATCTGAGCACAATTTAGGGAGGGGGCATTAGGGAGAGCAGAAGGGCAATGGTGACCACTGAAAGCCACCCTTCCAGCCTAGTTTCTGAGCCACCTGAATCCCTCTCTCCCATTGACCCTCACCCCTGTGGGACCCCTCCAGACCACACTTAGCTGGTGTGTGGGAAATCTTGGGTTTCTGGTTTCAGTGGATGGGGCATTGCTGTCAAGTTCTGGGACTGGCAGTCTCAGCTGTTGGTGGCAGGGACTTCCTAATGTGGCGCAGCCACTCAGCTGTCTGATTGTCAGACATTGACTGGGCTCTTTCAACTTTGATGGGCACAGGTTGCTGTCCTGGAAACTTTCCCGCTTCTGGACTTAGTCCAAAAACTCTGTATCAATCTTCTGTCTGACTGCACACTCTGTGAAGCACTTTCATTGAATCCCTACAGTGCGGAAGCCGACCATTCGGCCCATCGAATCTACACTGACCCTCTGAAGAGTATCCCACCCAGACCCACCCCATCCCTGTAACCATGCATTTCCCATGACTAATCTACAACCTACACATCCCTGGATAAAAACTAAAAGAACTGCGGATGCTGTAAATCAAGAACAAAATCAGAAGTTGCTGGGAAAGCTCAGCAGGTCTGGCAGCATCTGTGAAGAGAATTAATGTTTCGGGTCCGGTGACCCTTCCTCAGAACTGACTAGCTAGGAAAATGTTGGTTTATACACAGAAGATAGGGTGGGGGCAGGCGGGGGTAAGGAGTCCGGAGCGCCCGGAGGGGACCCGCGCAGGAATGCAGGGGCATGTGTGGGCTCCACGCAGATAGTTGCCTGAGGCTGGGGTTGGGCCCGGGTCTCCGGCACTGTGAGGCAGCCGTGCTAACCACTGAGCCAGTGTGCTGCCCTCAAACTAATTACACCATAATCATACAGAGAACATTTAATTTAAAGCAATAATGCTCACTCCCCTTCCACCACCAATTTGTTTCTGCATCATAGTAACTGTTTGTCCTTCCCTGTGACTTCATAAATAATTTCTTGATAAATGAGTTTATTCTGAATTTCTGGGCCAGGTAGGACTTGTACCTGGGTCTTCTGGTTTAGGGGCAGGGACACTACTCTGTGCTATGAGACCGCTTTTCAAGTGCTCACATTTGAACGTGCCACTGCCAATCCTAAAATGATATGGGTCATAAGGAGAGCAGCAAGTCTGTGAACAACCTACCGAATTCAGGCTATTAGATAGGCATATGGATGATAGTATAAAGTAGGGGTGGAGGTTAGATAGACCTCAGGATTAGGGTAAAGTTTCAGCACAACATCGTGGGCCAAAGGGCCTGTACTGTGCTGTACTGTTCTATGTTCTATGTTCTATGATAGGTGGGGATAGAGCCCAAAGAGAGAGAAGAGCAGTTGGACAGACAGAGGAATTGATAACAATCTGGTTAATTACATACTACCTGTTGTTACTCACTAACAGTCCCCAATAACAGCTATTCACCCTCCTACCCAGAGTGTTAACTCTGGCTTTTCCTTCACAGATGCTGCCAGACCTGCTGAGCTTTTCCAGCAACTTCTGTTTTTGTACACATCTCTGGATAGGAATCAAACCCGGGTCCCTGGTGCTGTGAGGCAGCACCGCTAACCGCTGAGTCATTGTGCCACCCTTCTAGGACCTACACTTTGGAGTGTACTCAAGGTGCTATATAATTGCACACCGCAGTTGTTATTTCTTGAACTCAGAAACTGCTGGTGGAACTCTTGACTGATTGTTATCAGTGGCCTCTGCACGGACTGAGAAAGAACTGCATTGTCAGTCTGATGCTTCACAGCACGAGCAACTGGGAGGGGGCTTCTTATTTATTTGACTCTTATTGATGGGGTTCTGTTCAGGGAATCAACACAAATTGAAAATGCACTGGCTTTTCAGCTTCCAAATCTCACGACCTCAAAATAACAGGGTCAAGCAACAGCCCAAAAAAAAAAATCACAACTCTGCATTCATATAGCACCTTATCATGCCCCAAAAGCCCTTCAAACTGATCCATTACTTCTGCAGTGTTGTTGCTCTGAAGTGCAGATCAACAGTATAAAAATATAGTTGAGCCTTGTCAAATGAATTTGGTTAATGACAAACATTTCTTTTGTTTTTACTCAGTCAGCAATGTTTAGAATCCATTTCTGATCAAATTGGATTAGAGTGTAATCCAGGAAGGAGTGCAAA